GCTGCAAAGCTCTGGTCTATAAGGGTAGAATTCTGTCTACAATTGTTAGATACATAAAAAAAAGTCTTTTATTTTTCTCTTAAGTAGTAACATAAATCAGAGGAACCTGGAATTGTTCAATATCTTTGAAAAAAATCAGGCCATTTATATTTAGGTATTGAAATATGAGTTAGGACACTAAATTTAGTATCCAGCACTGTTTACATTCAGCAGTCATGGACTCTGACCATTCCATAATTCAATGGAGGACACTGTTTTCATCCTTTTGTGCTCATGGCTCTTTGGAGATGCATGTTAGGAAGATAGTGGGTTTAATCTTTGTTACTATTGAGTTTTCATTGCTGCTGGAATATTTAGGTATAATTATGGGTTGACTTCTAAAATTCTGTGGTCCTCAGAGAACCTCTCATTTCCCTTTTCTCTACTTTGAAGATTATGAATCACCACAATCCCTTATTAGTTCTCTATTTATAACAGCTAATGATACCATGGGATGGCTGCAGCAGTAAGCAGATGTTTTTTTTTCCCATTCTTTACCCCTTTGTGCATTTTGCTCCCATATTTGTAGAAGGTAAAATCATTCTCCAGGGGACACTAGATTCTTCCTGTACATATGGTGAGGATCAAGCTGGAAAGAATGAGGAAAATTTTGAGTTTGCTTTTCCTAGCATATTAACTAGTAGTTGTATCACAGCATCAAAAACAATACATTGTATCTCATAACAGGTGTTCCAGACATGTCTCTCATAAGGTTAGGAAAGCTAGGAGAGAATATGAATCTGCAAATCCCTTCTGATCTTTATTCTGCCTCTCAAACAACAAAACTGTATTGCACTTGCACAAAGCATGCACAGAAAAGAGGAACCCTCTCTGATGGTCAGTTCATCCTTGTTTCTGTCAGTAGCCAGAAGACTGATTTTTAAGAACTTGTTCCTCTGGTTTCCTATAGGCCAGTTCCTCACAAAGCCAGTAACACTCGGTGGAGTGTCAGTGTATAAATGGGTTTGGTATAAAGTTGAGATACATCTGTCACTTTCCTATGTCTCTCCCACTGTCTGTGACTTCTGCAGAGACAAGGGAGAGCTCAGTCTGTCCCCATCTTTTAATAATTGAATACCTCACCACTCCTAGTTAGCTCTTCGGTGACCATTGTTTTGGTAGCAACATACTGCCTATACCTGCAAACATCAAAATATATAGTACCCAGCCCATTTTTTCTTCAACCAGGCAGCAGTGGAAATTTACTGGTGGTATTCACCAAGTAACAGAATGGCCTCATCATCCTTGAGGTGCTTGACGAACAGTACAGTTTTGTCATCCTCTCTTACTTAGATCATTGTTCAGAGAAAAATCACATTCAGTTCACAAGTTTCTCTTACAGAATCTAAAAGACCATTGTGGCATGCTATAAATCTGTGATATTCATTCCACTGCTTCGTTCCACTGCTTCAAAACTTTTTCAAATAGGTTAATTTTCTCCCAGTCTTTATGTTGGACCAGATGTCACCTGTCTGCATTTCTGAAAATTTAGGAGTCTTAAGTCCCCAGAGGCTTTTTTTTTTTTTTAATGCAGCAACTTCTTTGCATTGTTAACATCTCCAGTTTGTTAATTATCTGCTGTAACTGAAAGCTTTCATAGTAGGCTCTGAATCTTCTGCTGTTTGCCAAAGGTCTGAAGAATTATGTGTCACATTTACACATAATTCTGCTTATGCCGCTACAAAATTTTCCTATAACTCTAATTATACAGCCATGAGGAGTATATCCAGATGTTCTAGGGGAGGACAAAATATAGTGGTTGCCACTAAAATTATACAGCTGTGTACTAAAACAGGGCCAATGCATACCTTTCAAAAGTTAGTGTTTTCAAGTACTGTTCTCCAGGTACCTCCAGGAACTCCTCATAAATGGGAGGGGAAGAGTAAGAGAAAGTTTCATTATACTCTAAAGCTACTCCCCCCAGTGTTGTTACAGACACAGGTGAGGGGGAGAAATTTGTGCAGCCAACTATTTTCTTCAGAATTTACTCCCTATCTTTTACTTGTATTCTGCAATTGGTTAAGAAAGAGCAGTGAAATATCCCAATAATAATGGTACTGCTCAGATAGCTCTGCATGTGGCAAAGAATATATTATACTCTGCTTAAAAGAAGGGGAAAGATTGAATGAAAAGGAAAGAAGTACAAAACAAATAACAGGAGCTCAGAAACAACTCAGACTCTGCAGATGTGCTGCATCTGTTTGCTTGTCCACTGGGGACACTGAGATAGAGAGATTAAGGCATTTATTCAGAGACAGTTAGACAACTAGACCAGATATGCAAAATGCAGCTAGGTTGACTTAAAGTCCATAGCAATAATAGTACTGTAGCAAAGGGGTGAATATAATTCACTGTCTGTGCATTAAACATTGAACATATATGCCATAAAACAGATCACAATCTTACAATGGTGGAGTAAAGCAGGAACTCACCTTGCGAAGTATACACACAATCAAATGAAATTTTAACCCATTTTAAATCTGTGAAAGATAAAAGTACAAATATCTCCTTGTAGAAATATTGCCGAAGTTAAAAAGAAGGTAGTGAACATTAAAAGCTGTCATTCAAAAGAAANTATATTAAAGGAAAAGGTACAAATATCTCCTTGTAGAAATATTGCCGAAGTTAAAAAGAAGGTAGTGAACATTAAAAGCTGTCATTCAAAAGAAATGTGCACTTTGACATGAACTCAGGTGAAAATGAGCCAAAAGCAAAAATAGTGTGTAACCCAGTGTGTATAACACAGGGGCCTCAGTGTAGTCTTTAAAAGTAACCTGGATCTATAAACTTCACAAAGGAAGATAAAGGCCATAACCTCCAGTCTTTACGACTTAAAAGAAATTTGCATTCTTTTAATTCTGTCTCTACCTGTAAAAATAAGCAAACAATGAAAGTCACCTCTTCACAAGTAATTCCTCACTGTTGTCATAAATAGCTACAGTATGCAAAAAAATACATTTATTAGCAAAAATGCTTCTGGCTTTAATGTTCACTTTGGAAATATTGAGAAATGGAACCTCATAAGTTATTCATTAGATGAGAATTAATGCAGTCACTATTCCTGGTTTCTGATTAAGTGCTGTCTTGTAACCTAGTAACATTGGAAATAATGACCAGATGATAATTTTCTGCAAATTGAGTCAATGAAGAGAAGCTTTGATATGTCAAGTTGCAACACTACTTGCCCAACAGAAATTGCCTGGAGACCCATTTACAGTTGTGGACACAATTTTCTTCTGTGTTTGTATGGGGTAGTGTATACAGATAAAGTCCATCTCTAATGATGGATTCATTCTTGCTCTTCCACTGTGATAGTTAAGGCAGTGGGAAATGGTGATGAAGGAACAAAAATCTACAATCTCAGAATAATATAAAAAAGGAATTTAAGTTTTTTTTCAGCTTATTCTCACTGAAAATAGTGGGCAGAATTCATTAAACTGCTAGCTGTAAATCCTCTGACAGACTTCCACACAGTATACAGGACCACAAAAGTGTGTAGAACTCTCATCACTAACATCCTATCTTGCTGGGGGCTTCAATATAAAAGACAAGTGAAAGACACAGAGGAAAAACTTCTATTAGTATTGCCGGTTTAGGACTGAGGTTGTGTAATAACACTCAGCAAATTCCAGAATTAATCCAGAATCCTTTTTCATTAATCTAAAAAAAATTAAGGTCCGTTTCTAAAAACTAGTCAGCAAGTACCTGGGATAGGAAAAATGAATAAGTACAAAGACAAGTTAGTACAGAAAAATGCACACCCACATACACACATATATGTACACCACAGAAGTTCAGAAAGCATGCACGGTTGAAATGGAGTCACTGAAGCAAAGAAAAATCTCAGAGAATAGGAACTACACAATAGTTACTCAGTTAATGTGTAAGTTAAAAAGCGATCTAATTACTTGAGGAACGCAAAGGGGGAAAAATGCAAGGAAAAAAAACCACAGAAGGGCAGAAAAGTATTAAATGTTAAAGCAGAAAGTTGCCATTGCCACAGGAAAAAAAAACAAAAAAACAAAACAGGATTAGAATCAGCTTGAAACCTGAGGGCAGCCATTAGAGAGAGACAGAGTGGGAAGCCACTACGTGTGTGGATAGATGTGAAGCGGCCGAGGAAGATGCGGAAGGCTGATGCGGAGGAGCGGCGCCAGCAGCCCTGCCCCGGGGCTCGGCCGGGCGGGTGCTGCGGGGGGCGGCGCTGCGGGGGCGGGCGCGGAGCGCGGGGCGCACCGCCGGGGCCGGGGCGAGGCGGGGCGCTGCCACGGGCTGGAGCGGGATGCGGTTAACAGCGGCTGGATGATGGAGAAGGGACCATGGAGCAAAGGGGCTGCCGGAGCCGCGGCGTTACGGCTGCTGGCCTCGGGCTGGCTGCCCCGGGTGTGCCTCCAGCCAGAGCAGCCGCCGTGTAAAGACGGAGATCGCGCGGTGCTGTGCGGGCAGCAGCCGCGGCTCCTGGCTCCGTGGCTCCGGCTGCAGAGCGAGGGGGTAGGGAGGATCATCACCCCTGGAGGGGAATAAAATGCATTACAAAAAAAAATCTTTAATAAACAATCTTCTGGAAGGAGGATGGACAAGGGGATGAGGAGAGGATGGGGTCAGAAAGTGGTGGATGGGAAAAACTGGTGGTCTGGATTAGGGGAGCAGGAGATCAGGGGACAGCACTCCCCAACTGACCCTCTTGCCTTCATGCTCCGGGGCAGAGAAGTGAAGAGGAGAAAATCAGGGAGAAAGGTGGAGAGGAGCAGGAGGAGGAGGAAGGGGCGGGGGGGTGCTTGCGCGCTTAGGGGTAGGGGCGAGCGGCGGGCGGCAGTGTGAGATGGCATTCGCATGAACACACATCGACATCATCTATACATCCACACGCGACTGGGTAGGGGCGGGCAGAGCCTCCGCCGCACCCCCGGGAGCAGCCGGGGGAGGCGCCTTGGTCCCCCCGCCGGGAGGGGGCACGGCGGGGCCGGGAGGGGCTCGCGGGAGCTGCTGAAGCGGATGCCTTCACCTGGGGCTCTCCATCAGTGAGAGAGGCGAGAAGAGGCAGTCGGGTTTGGAGAACTACCTCTGGATGGTTTAAAAAAGAAAACAACAAAAAAAAAACAGAAAAGAAAAAGGAAAAAACCCAACTCTGCAATCCTCTACTCCCCCAGGCTCAACACCATAAGGGACTGCTATATTTGAGGCTGTCAGAAGGATGGGAGAAAGAGACTGAGAGTCAGGGCGAGAGAGACGGTGCCACAGCAGCGGTAAGTGTCTCTGCCGTTCCCCCAGCCAGGCACTGATTTCCCTGGTTAGACTTTGGAGTGTGTGCAGATTATTCGTTGCAATATCCATCGCGGCATCTCTGTGAACAGTCTGCTGTGAAGCCGGCAGTGGTGAGAGATCCCGGTTTTGGGCTCCTACTACAGGTTTATGTGTTTTGGGGTTTTTTTTTGTTTTGAATCTTACGTTGAAATTGTTGTCATAATTGAGCAGAAAAGTTGAAGCAGAAATTACTGTGGTCTGCTGTATGCTTCCTATAATTTAACTAGCGAAGCAAACTACTGCAGTGAATGAGTTGTGAAGAGAGATGTGAGTCTTTTAGAAAAAAATACATACTCCGGAGAAGAAATGCCTGTTTCAATGTACTATTTTTTTATATCTGGGAGAGCTACCATGCTAATGCTTGACGTTTAATCAGGAAATAACCCAGCATATTAAATTTATAGAGATGCACTTAAAGTTGTGCTGTTTTGGAGTTCGGAATGGTACTTGGCTTTGGGATAAACAATTATCTCTAGAATTAGAAAAGTACAGTGCCTGGACCATTCTCCTTTGCTGACAGGCAAAAGAGATGGAATTACACAAAGATGCACTGATTTTTCCGCTCTGATGTGAGGATAGTTGATAAGACTATGTGGAATGCCCATGAACTGGTTAGAAGACAAACTTAGAGTTATTGGAACATAGAGCATGAACTGTTTTTAAATTTTTATATGAGAAAAAAAATCATCCATTACTGTATCTGTACTTTAGATGTTTAGTTTCATTCCACTTGAGCACAGAAACTTCATGCAACAGAAGTTACACAAGGTAGTGTAATGTGAGGACTAAAGTTTTCTATGTTTTGCAATATTTCAGAAATTGAACAAAGTTTTTCCAAAGTTATTTTTTAAATTTAAAAAGTACTATTTTACTAAAACGACATATTTTCTTTTTTTTTGTTGCTTGTTTGGGGTTTTTTGTTTTGGTTTGGTTTTTTTGGGGGAGTTTTTTGTTTTGTTTTTTTTTTTTAAATGAAGAACCTGGTGCCAGTTTTTTTTCTGAAGAGTTACAGCATTCTTCTAGACTTCAGTGAGCTTTTGATGAGACCCTGAAGTTTGAAACTACATATAAATTACACACTCACTATTAGCCAAAAGCCAAGGAGGGATTCCTGATAACTAAAATTTGAATGATGTTTTCTAATTAATAAAAGTGTAATTAATTCTTGCTGAATTATAGTACTACTCCTTCAGAAGTACTTTGTGGCAATCAATATTAACACAAAAGCAGTTTGTCATGATTAATGTTGTTACAGTGGATATTGAAAGAATTAGCAATAATTGGGCCATTACCTTAAAGAGCTATCAAATTATCTATTAGAATTTCTAAAAGTATATTTAATAAATATACTTTAATTATTATAGCACTTAGCTACAAAGTTTCAAAACCCCTTTTTCTCTCTTGTTGTGGGGGAAAACTCTTGTTTACTAGTGTGAGGTATGCCGAAATGAAGACAGAAAACTAAGATGTGAACTATAGTAACTGAGGAATGTTTTATGTACAGAGGCCTTCAGTGGCAATATACTTTTAACTATGGGAGTGTTTAAGAGATGTGGTTAAGAAAACAAAGTCTGGGAAGACAACAAATATATTAAGGAGAGTAAAGTGTTAAGCATCCTTGGAGGTGATAACAGCTAGGTAGTTTTATAAGGGGACTATTCAACATGCAACACTTCTGTTTTGTATACTTACAAGGCAAATGCCCATGCAAAAAGTCAGAACTTGCAGAGCATGATATAAAAGTGTGAAGATAGCTATGGACAGTTGGGAGATTAAGAATGTAGATTTTAGTTTTATTGGTCAATATGAAGCTGAGGGTCCTACTTTGAATTCTAGGTTAATATATCAGGGGTAGGGATCTTAATTTCATTTTATAATGAGGGCAAGTGTAATAAGAATGAAAACAGAAAATTAAAAAAACTTGACTGGCTGAATTATAGCTGAAAATTTGAAAGAAAGGAGCTTTGAAAACAGGTCTTACGGAAAAATATCCTAGCAGCTAAGATAAAAGGTATGATTAAAAGTTCTGCTGTTAAAGGGTAACTTTAAGAAATGCATAACTTGGAGGACTGTTAGAACAGATTTAATACAGGAAGGTCATGACTGGCAAATTTGCTTGAGCCCCCTGAATAAGTTGCTGACATGGTAAACTATTGGGGAATCTGTAATATGATTTATGGGAGTTTCAGAAAATGTCCAGTTCTGTGCTCCACAAAATATTGATTTGGAAAGTAAAATTTTTAAGGAATGCTGGAATGAATTCAAATCTGACTTAGACATAGGGACCAGAGGGTGTCAGTAAAGGTAAAGAGCTCTGGATGGAAGGAGGAGGTTAAAAGTATGATGCTTTAAGTGACAGTCTGAGATCCAATTTTCCTTCTTGCTTGCTGTAAAGCTGGTATGTTCAAAAAGAGTAAATCTGATATGCTAGCAGTACAGAAAAATCTGTCCCACTAAACAGATTCAACAGACTGGAAGTTTTCTGATGAGGTTAATGACAGGAATATTTATTTTAAATAATTAGTGCAAGTCTTTACAAAAGGCATCATAGAAAATTATACGTTAAGAATATACATGCCAAGGCATTGAGCCCTCTGAGGTGATTGGTTCAGTGGCATTGAAACAAAAATAGTTCTTCTGAACGATTTTGTTTTTCTACATGTAGCCTGCAACACAGATCTTAGTTCCTCTGAATGCACTGCGTAATTTGTCACTGCTGGTTTGCTCCCTCCATATGCTCCTGCTAACTGCTTCTGCATTGCACTTTCTATCAGTTTCAGAACAGCCTCAACCATTTGAACAATGTCTTGTACACTAAAATGCTAAACTGAAATCCATTGCAGTTTATACTGCATTCTTAATTTCCTGAGAATCAATGTCAAATAGACATTTGCTAGCTAATATTATATTAGTAGGGGCTTTATAGTATTTATTTTCCTCCTTCTATGCATGGCTTCTCTAATGCTTTTTTCAGAGTCTGTTACACCCTGGATTACCAACTTCTTAGCACTTTACAAGGGAAAAATACTCTTTCTGGAAGTGATGGAGTCCCTATTGATTCTTATCTTCTGAGTGATTTTGATCAATAACAATATATTAGGGGATGGTGCCTTTTCAAAAATTATGAAATTGTTAAAACTTGGTAAGATAAATACGTTCTTATTTTGCTTAAAGATTTAAAAGTCTCATACTGTACATGTATGTATGTGTAGATGTGCTTATACACATGTATGAGAGCAATGATTTTGTGTCTTTTGTAAGCTGGAATGGAAGCAACAGTAACATTTTCTGGTTAATGGAAGGAAATGTAATCTGTTTGGTTTTACAATTAATTTCTTGTCTGATTTATGAAAATATTGCAAAGTGTGTGAACCTTAAGAAAATCTAATCTTTGCTTATATGCTGCTTTCTAAAAGGAAATTCAGGATGATTCACTGTACTTCATAAAGGCAACAAATCAATTCTAAGGTGTTGCAAGTGGATATATAATAAGGGAAATACAATGTCAGATTCTGTATGTTGTGAACACAATAAAACATTAGAATTACCATCCGTGTTACAGCTGATGTTCTTGATCACACATGCCCATACTTATTCTATATAGTCATCCACTTAGACTAGCTCCTAAGCTTACAGAGTCATGAGGTTATGTCAGAATGACAGAGTAATGCACGCTGTCATGTGCTAGTTAAAACATCATAGCTCACCTCTTTACATCTCCTTGAGGACCAAACTTACATGTCAGTTTCAGGAAAAATTGATAACTCTTCTCCATTCCCATCCCTAGAAATAGAAAATACATCAAACTCTTTCCATCCATCAGAAATCTCTTTTGGGAATTTCCTTTTTCAGTATGCTCTTAAAGGTTTTATTGTAAATGGTGTTAAAACATGATGTTATCGTTGGGGAACCTTCTGCTCCTGGAACTAAAAACAGACAAACTTTGATCATCTCAGTTCCTGAGAGGGGTAAAGGATAACAACTTTTCACTCAACATACAAGGACTGTGGCTTCAACCTCCTTGTGAGTGAAAAACGTTCTGCTTCTAATAGTTAAAGATTTACTATATATTCAGTGGGACTCCTAGCCTTCAAATTATTTTGATCAAGACTAAATGTATGACTTTGTAATTGATGCAGAGATAGTATCAGGCCAGTCTTTTAGGTGTCTTCCTTTACCAAATAACATCACTTTACAAGAATTCATGAATCCCATTTTATTTTTATCAGTTTTATAGTCTTCATTAAGTACATGAGGGACACTGCCTTGTGGCTGCAACATTCCTGCTATAGGTTGTAACCAACCTGCTATAGCAAAGCATTCAACCAAGAGTAGTGGCTACACAGATGGGCAGGTAAATGAAAAAGACTGTTTGGTTGTAGTATCAGAAGAAGCTAATGTAAAAGCATAACCTCCTCATAATATTACTTTGAGAAGACATTCAGGCACTAAACTTGAAAAGTTTTAATTCTTGCTTAGCCATGAAGAGACATATCTAGAAGACGTGTCTGCTGCAATATTTTCCCCACAAATATGACCTCAAAACTACATGGCAAGGAGCTTAACAGAGATTTACTCTTGGAAAAGGTGATTAATTATTACCTGTTTAAGAACATATGCATTATATTTTCTGAAAGATCCCCCATTATGCCTGTTAGCTCCTCCACAGCTTTTATATGCTATTTACTCTTCGTTATTTGCAGGTCTCCACATTACTCTGAGGTGTAATGAGCAAAACCACATCAAAATGAGTCAACAAAATCATAGTGCATGTTTTACCTCTTCTTCTGAGATAGTTCTCACAGAGAAAATTTTCCAAAAGTTAAATATTTTAGACACTCCAGAAGATTACTCTGGACATGCTGAAACATTTGTATGACATTGAGCACTGCTGGTCTGATAGAGTCATTCAGCTTTATCAAATTCATATTACTGTGAAGTA